AATCGCTCACAGCTGCAGCACACGAGCCTGGGGCCCTCCTCCCCAGAAGCAGCTGCAATTTACAGGGGGTGGGAGGCTGTGGAGATGCATTGAAGGCCGGGGCTCTGGGTGTCTTCTGCTCCCCTGGAGATGGGTGGATGGGACGGGAGCCTGGGGGCTTGGGTACTTCCCCCTGCCCTGGCAAGGGAGCGGGGGCTTGGAGATCGGGGCAGGGAGCCTGGTCACCTGGGTGCTGACCCCAGGGATCTGGGTGGGCGCAAGGGGGCACGAAGGCGGCGACGCGGGTCGTGTGCAGGTTCTCTTTATTCCCTCTCATTGCTGACCCAGGTGTGTGAGCCTGGCAGGTAACACCCCGCACCCATCCCGAGCTGGGGCCCAGGTGCCCCAGGGCTCATGATACGCTCTGCCCCTCGTCCTGGCTAGACCCAGAGTCTGGGGGGGGGGGCCGTGCCAAACCTCAGCGGCTCAGGGGAGCTGGCGCAGGCAGCCGGGAGCCCGGATGCCTGGGTTGTCTCCCTGCTCGGAGTGGAGGGGTTTGGGGTGGGGCAACTAGCAGGGGGCGCTGGCCAGCAGACGCCCTAGGAAGCTAAGCAGGGGCAGGGAGGGTGGGAGCCCCCAGGACGGTGCTGCAGGGAGCGAGGGGGCAGCCTGGGGGGCTCAGGTGATGATTCGGAGGATGTTCTCGTAGCCGAAGAAGGTGACGGCGTTGACGGGGAAGGCCCGGGCGCAGTTCAGCCCCAGGCCCCGCAGGAAGACCCGGGCACCCTCCTGCCGGGCGCTGAGGCGGGCGCAGTGCAGGATCCCGCGGTAGGGGCTGGCCCCCGCCTGCAGCCGCACCTTCACCACGTCCATGGGGGTGGCGCAGGCCCAGGACAGCGACCCGGCCACGCCGCCCGCCAGCAGCACCGTGCACGCACCTGGCAGGGAGCAGGACAGGGCTCTTAGGGCTGTGCCGCGGGGGGGCAGCCAGCGGGGGGCGCTCTGCCCAGCATAGTCGTGCGATGGTGGGGAGGGGCAGCGTCAGCTGCTGTGCAAAGTTCGTGCAACGCCGTGGCACGTCCATTAACCCTTGCCCAGGGAGGGAGCGGCTGAGCCCTCGTTATATAACAGGAATTGCTCCCGCACCCCCAGGAGGGGCCAAATGTTGCCCCCTGCTCTGCCCTGCCCCGTCTCCCTGCTCACCTGGCTCCTGCCCAGGGGGCGTCAGGCCGCGGGACAGGCTGGCGTAGAGGAGGAGGTAGAGGCCGCTGGTGGGGGTGTCGCGCAGCGCCAGGGCCCCCGCGCCCCGCAGCAGCCCCCGGGGCCCCTCCTCGCGCACGATGCAGGCAGCGCAGTGCATGGGGCCCCGGTACCGGGGGGCGCGTGTCTCCTCCGCCGGCCCCCCCCCGCCCCGGCCGCGGGGCCGGGTCTGGC